ACCGAGATGAGGGCAGCCCGGCCGGCGTGTGAACCCGGAGGTCAGGTTCGATCCGGTCAGGGCACATGCTCGGGGGGTGGGCTCCATCGCAGTGTGGGGCGCGCAGGAGGCAGCCGATCCATGACTCTCTCTCACCACTGATGTTTCTCTCCCTCTCCCTCTCCCTTCCTCTCTGAAATCAATAAAAATGTATTTTTTTAAAAAAGACCGAAAAAAAGAGGTTCTTGGTCACTGAGACGGAGGAGCCCTGGAGGGGCCCTGGAGCAAGAAGCTGAGAGTAACCGCACCGGGAAAACACACCCTCATTCCCAGGCGGCAGGAGCCGAGCGCTCCGGGCACAGGAACCCCCCTAGGAGAGCAGCCTGAGCGCCAGGGGAGGGGGCAGCCCGCCACTCCCCGCATTTCAGCCTCAGCCAAGAACTGGATGCAAAAGCGGCCACGTGCTGCACCCCAACAGGCTCTGGGGAGGCCCCCCACCTCAGAGACTGAAGGAACCACACAGGAGGGCATGAACGTACACACGCCAGGGCAGGAAGTCCCCCGTGGCCTGCAGTCTCCTCCACACGAGCCAAACTCTACCTTAAGAGAGTCCCCTCCTGTCCTGTGCCTGGACGGTGACCTGCCTTTGAGATGTCGGAGACCCCACCAGAGCCGGAGCTCGCAGGCCCCTTGGTCGGGGCAGACACAGGACACCAGGGACCAGCTACAGTTCCAAGACACGAATCCTGCTCTGTTCACCGCAATGGCTTTGTTCTGATTAAAAAGGGCGCATCCTAACCCGGCGGGAGCTGTGCACCCGGGGACCTGGGAGTCAGCCTCAGAATGTGGACCCTCTCTTCCTGCCCAGTGTCCTGTTGCCCACACGATGGAGCCCGCCCACATGGCCTGTGACCTGGAACCATCACACGCATTCTTACTCCCTTTGCCGGCTGCCCCAGGAGTCCTCGTCCGGGCCCATGTAAGCAGCTGGCTTGCGGTGGGCACAGGGCAGTGGTTTGGGGATGGCCTGCTGCCGGCAGGATTGGAACACACGCTCATGGATGAGCTCCTAACTGGCCTCAGGTAGTGACACGCCCAGACCCCCTGCTGGTGTGGTTTCACCCCCTGTTGGTGTCTTGCTCCCTGCACACCTTCCCCATGTGCAGGGAATGCCTGTAACTCCCCACCCCCGGAAAAGAAGTGCTTCTCGGGTTAAGCCTCACCCGAGGATACTTTTCCGTTGATTTTTAGAGAGAGTGGAAGAGAGAGGGAGAGACAGAGAAACATCGATGTGAGAGAAACACATCAACTGGTTGCCTCCTGCAAGCGCCCCTATCAGGCCCCAGGCCGGGGAGGAGCCTGCAACCGAGGTACTAGGTGTACTGGTTAATAATGCGAATTTTTTTCAATAGATGGCGTTACACATGTGATGATATATATGCGATTTGATATGCATGCTATTTTGTTGTATTGACAGCAAGCTTCAAAAGTTCGTGTCAAATTTTCTGAAGGTGTTACCATCAGATATTTTTACGCTTAAAAATGTCAGATTTTCAAATGCCAAAAAAAGAGCACTTGGGGGAAGTTTTGATTCATTCCTTCACTTTGAACAAAAGTGCTGCTGACAGTGATCGCACACCTCGGTAAGCTTATGGTGAACACGCTCCATCTCAAGACGCTTGTGAACGCTGGTTTAAACGCTTTAAAGGTGGTGATTTCGATGTGAAAGACAAAGAACGTTCAGGTCAACCGAAGAAGTCTGAAGACCAACAATGACAAGCATTACTGGATGAAGATGCACGTCAAACTCAAAAACAACTCGCAGAAAGATTAAGCGTTGCTCAGCAAACAATTTCTGATCGTTTACAAGCAATGGGAACGATTTTAAAGGAAGAAAAATGGGTGCCACATCAACTGGACAAAAGACAAATGCTCTTTTTTTGGCATTTAGAAATTCGACATTTTTAAGCGTCAAAATATCTATGATGTTAACACCTTCAGAAAATTTGACATATGAGGTTTTGAAGCTTGTTGTCAATACAACAAAATAGCATACATATCAAATCGCATATATATCAACATATGTGTAACTCTGTCTGTTGAAAAAATCCGCATTAACCGGTTCACCTAGCATGTGCCCTTGACAGGAATTGAACCCGGGATCCTTCAGCCCACAGGCCAACACTCTATCCACTGAGCCAAACCGGCCAGGGCTCTCCGGTTTACTCGTGATCCAGTCCCAGAGCTTTCCCCGCTGTGCTTGCTCCGCCCCCTTAACCTACCACCACGGATTGCACGTGACCCCCCTCGCGCCTCGGCTTTTATCCTAACTGCAACATAAACTGCAAAACTGCCGTTTTCTGGAGCGTTTCTCAAGCCGCAGAGTTTGGTCGTCAGTTCGGCGCTAGTGAACACACCGAACCCCTGCAGGTTTGGGTGTTTCTTACCTCGAAGGACCTGCCTCACCCTCTGGGTCTGCCCAGAGCTGGTGAGAACGAACGCGGCTGTTGGGCGGCTGCACTGGTGCTTGCGTTCGAGCAGGAGGATGTTCCCAAACCAACTGCCTCGGTTCCCACCCTAGGAAACCAGAAAAGAGAAACACAAATCAGATCTACAGTGAGAGAGAGGAAGGAAGGAAGGAAGGAAGGAAGGAGGGAGGAAAAAAGAAGAAGGAAGGGAGGGAGGGAGGGAGGGAGGGAGGAAGGAGATGATGCAGGAGTAGAAACCTATGAGGTAGAAGACAGAAAACCAATGAAACTAGTCGGATTTATTCAGAAAGAAACGAGAGAATTGACATCAGGAATGAGGTAGGAGTGAGCATTGCAGATCCTACAAAAAATGAATAAGAGAAGTCAGCCCGGCCAGTGTGGCTCAGGGGTTGACTATGAACCAGGAGGTCACGGTTCAATTCCCGGTCAGGGCACAGGCCCGGGTTGCAGACTCCATCCCCAGTGTGGGGCGCGCAGGAGGCAGCTGATCGATGGTTCTCTTTCATCACTGAAATTTCTACCACCCTCTCTGAAATCAATAAAAATTTATATATATTCTTTTATAAATGAAGGTTTACAGGCCAAAAGTGGGGCCTACAGATTGAGAAGCTAAGTGGACTGTTGAGGGGAGATCGCCTCCCCTTGGGGAATGCAGGGGTCTTATCGGCCAAGGACTAGACTGGTGAGACCCACCCACCCCTCTCCCTGCCCCTCTGAGTCACTGCTCCAAAGAGGGGGGCGTCAGAGCCCCCAACCCGTTTCTCCAGCTGCCCGGGAGGGGCTGGGTGCCACGGGGGAGCTGGCACTGCCGGCCAGCCACGGGCCCACCCCTGGGAACAGGCCCGCGTGGCCGTGGGCGGAGGGTGGGGAGGCTGCGGGGAGACTGATAAGGTCAGTTCCGGGAGCCGAGGCAGAGCAGGTTCGCCCGGGAGTGGAGGCCTCCCCTGGGCTCACGGGCACACCTCTGCACCCCCTCCGAGAGGTCGGGACAGGGTTGCCGGGCCTGCCCTCTGGGGGCCAGTGATGTGGGCACCCCCTTCCCGTGGCTCTGCAAGGACATCTCTGGGTCGAGGCACGGCACGGAGGCGAGATGGCCCGGCCTGTGCGGTGTGGAGGTCAGCTGTGGCCGCAGCGGGTGAGGTGAGTGCAGAGGTGTGGGTGGTGCCCTCTCCCCAGGGGCCTCCAGCTGCCAAGGCACAAGCCGTGCCTTTGTTCTGTGGACACTTGCAGGGCCTGGGAGCACTTAGGCAAGGCTACCGCATTGCTCAATCCCCACACTCACCGAGCCTGCTCGCTCGCAAAACAGGCCACCAGGGGACCGGCCGGGTGAGTCGGCAGAGCAATCCGACCCCACGGGCTGCCTGGCCCGGCAACTCACCCGTCCCCGGGGCCCAGCTCACTCAACCAGCCCCACGGCCTCCCCTCCCACAGCCCTGCCAGCCTCCCCAAGTCCAGCACCCACCCATCCTACCCCAGCCCCTCCGCTTAACCCCTGGTGTCCTCCTCGGATGCTGGGCTCCGGATGCCTGCCCCTCCCCGCCTCTCACCCTGCCCACCTGCCCTGGCCTTTGTGCAGGTTCCAGGCCAGGCTCTGGCAGCTGACTCCATCCCTCTCCCTCCCTTGGCCTTGTCCTGACTTTGCCCAGATGTACAATGTCCTTGGGGACAGCTCTCTCTGCGGTCCAGCCACCGGCACCGCCCACGCTCTGGGCCCCCAACTGAAGTCCTGTCCTCTCCCTAATGTTCTCTGTGTCGAGAACATTACGTTCGACCCCCAGGCCTGTGCCCATGTGACCTCACAGGGCAAAGGGGGTTTTGCAGATATGGCTGTGGACCCTGAGAGGCAGGAGGACCCTGGGTGACCCGGTGGGACCCATGGAATCACAGGGGTCCCTGGGAAAAGGAGGCAGGCGGGGTCGAGGGGGAGTCAGAGAGGCACCGCAGGGACAGGACGCAGCATCCCTGGGAGCTGGAAAGGCAGGAGGTGGGGTCTGCCCTGGAGCCTCCGGAAGGACCGGCCAGCAGCACCTTGGTTCCGGCTGGGTGGCCGATAGCGGACGTCTGGCCTCCAGACCACAGGAGGATGACGCCGTGTTGTTTTAGCCACTCCACCTGCGGTCCTTCGTCACAGCAGCCACAGGGCTCTGGCAGGCAGCACTGTTTGCCCAGTGACTCACTCCTCTTCCTCACCTCCCCGTGCCCACCACTTCCTAGAATGTCGTCACTCCCTCGTTCCCATTCTTCAGGATGATCCAAGTTCAGGTCCATCCTCTTCCACGTGTCACACTGAGGAGACAGACTGCTCGGGGTTGGGGCCCCGTCCTCCTTTCTGTCCATGTCCCTGCGGTAACTGGGCCCTCACCCAGGGCCTGCACACCAACCTCAGCCACCTCCACCTGCAGAGGCCTTCACCCAGCACTCCTCCCCGAGTACCCCGAACAGTCACCAACACCCCTCTGTTTGGCCACCACCACCTGCCTGGCTCACAACCCCCAACAGCACCTCTCAGGGAAGCCTTTCCTGTACCTGCCTGTATCAGTCAGGATTCTCCAGTGAGACAGTGTGCTTATCTGTCTGTCTGTCTGTCCATTCATCCTTCCATCTACCCATCATCCATCCGTCTATCCATCCATCCATCCATCCCTCTTTCTATCCATCCCTCTTTCTATCCACCATCCATCCATCCATCCATCTACCCATCCATCCATCTATCCATATTCTATCCCTCTTTCTATCCATCATCCATCCATCCATCCATACATACATACATCTCCCATCCATCCTTCCACCATCTCTCTATCCACCAACCCACCACCTATACACCTTCTATCCATCTATCTTTCCTTTCATCTATTCATCCATCTGTCCATCCACCCATCCGTCCATCCATCTATCATCCATCATCCATCATCCATCCCTCTTACCATCCAACATCCATCATCTAGAGAGATAATTTGAAGGGATTGGCTCACGTGACTGTGGGTCCTGCTGGCTGGAGCCCCAGGAAGCTGAGGTTGCAGCTCCAGTCAGAAGGCGTCTGGAGGTAGAATTCCTTCGCCCTCGCGGATCTCAGTCTTTTCTCAAGGCTGAAGCTGACTGGCTGAGGCCCACCATGCGATGGAGGGCGATCTGCTTCAGTCCAAGCCTGCTGACTGGAACTGTCAATCACATGTGAAGGTCACCTTCACAGAAACCCCCAGAACGTTTGACCAAGTAGATGGGCACCACGACTGGCCGAGTTAACGCCCCATGGCTGCCCCATCCTCCCCTCATCTGCACTCGCCTCGGGCACCTCTGTCCTCCATCGCTCAGAGCAGGGCAGGCTGTGCTCGCACCTGAGCCTGTTGCCAAGTGGCAGAAAATGCAGGACACAGACCCCAAGGGCAGGGGCCGGGCTGCACCTCGAGAGCTCTGTGCAGCTCACCCAACCTCAAACCCGCCACCACAATGTACCCCCTGAGCCCCAACACCCCCCACACTTCAGGCTTCAGGCCTCGTGGGGCCCCTAAGAGGGGTTCCCTGCATGCCCGGTTTGTCTCCCCAGTGAATTGGGGTAGAGGCAGCTATGCCCTCCCGGGCCCCCCACAGCCTGACCAAGTCTATGTCTGCCTCAGGCTTTCCTGGGGTTCCCCATGTGGCTGCCAGACCCCCCGAACCACTTCCCAAGGGCAGCCATGATGGAGGAAGGCCATGGCTCTGAGCTCAATCCTTGGCCCTGGGGTGCCTACTCCAGAGGGCTTGTGAGCCACTAAGACCCTGGTCTCCTTTTCATCAGCATCTAAACTGAAGCCCTGAGATATGGTTCTGTTCTCAAAGCCTCTAAGCTTTGTCTCTATCTCAGCACAATCCACCAGTGTGTGCGTGTGCGTGTGTGCCTGTGTGGTGGGGGGGGGGGGGGTGGGGGGGGGGGGGGGTGTTGAGGGGGTGGTGACTTCACAGCTCAGCAGGACCACCCACCGACTGAAGAAAGCAAGTGTCCCTGCAGCACCTGGGCTCCTCTCGATGCCCCAAAAGCGCCAGGCCCGCCGCAGCTCCCTGCTGGTCGGGAGTTGGCCCCACACTGGGCACAGGATTGGGACGCTGGTGGCTGGGGCTCAGGGAGAGGCCAAGGCCCAGTGGAGAGGACACGCGGACTGGGCTCCAGCCCTTGTGGGCCTGGACGCTGTGTCTCCCTGCCGTGCAGAGAGCTGCACTGAGGGGTAGGGGCAGTAGCCCGGGGGGGAAGCCCTGAGTGACAGCGGGAAGGGAGGGGGGGGCTGACCCTTGTGGGGAGAACCGAAGGGCACGAGGCCAAGCCAGGTCCTGTCCGGCAGGGCACCCAGAATGCCCCCTCCTGGACCAGCCGAACCTGACATTCCCCCTGCTCCACCCCCTGTGCCCGTCACCCTTCCCTGCCCTAACAGTGCCAGCCACTCTCAGCCCACCCTCCCCCACAAACTCAGGCCCCGTCCAAGGCAGCTGACCCGAAGCTAATTCCCTCAATGGCCTCCTCCACAGCAGAACTAATGTTCTGGGCCTCTGGCTGGGGCCCCAGGGAGCTGCACCCCCACTTCCTCCTGGCTCCAAGGGCTTAAGTGGGGTGACTCAGGCCCAATTGGAGGGCAGGGCAGGGAGGGCAGCCTAGCAGTCATGACTCAGCTTCTTAGCCGTTCCCCCACCCACCTCCTGGGAGGACCTGTCACGACGACTTCCCACCGGCACCTAGAGCAGCCCCGGCCCAGGCCGCCCTGCAGCCCAGCCCCCTGTGCACCCACAAACCTTTCCTCTTCTCGGGGCACCAGGAAACCACAGGCTCAGAGCTGCAGCTGAGGGCGGGGCCAGCACACTCTCCTCCTGGGCTGCTGGGGGTCTCGGGGCCTCCGTGTGACACCCGGCCCAGGGTAGGGGCCCAGGGCAGAGAAGAGACTGCCACCATTAGGACCCCTTCCCTCCTCCCTGAGGGACAGAGGCGAGAGAAGGGCCAGCAGCCACAGCCCCAGCTCCACGTCCACTGTGTGTGCTGGGGTTTGGTCCTTCTCAAAGCCTGTTGCCTCCAGTTGTGTGAATCTGATGAATGGTTAATGAATGATTAACGTCGCTACTGCGCTGGGGGCGAAGCTCCGGGCGCCTTCCATCTGGGGCTCTTGTCAGCGCTGCTGCGTGCACATCCTCGTACCTGACCCGGTGCCTGGGGACACTGCGCTGTGGGTGTCTGTCCCTCGAAGAGGTGGCGCTGGCCGGGGCAGCTCGGGACCAGCTTTCGCGGACGGGGCACACGGTTCCCAAAGTGCTTGTACCAATTCACCATCCAGGCGGTCGCTCGCTCCATCGCTCTGTCCTGACCACGCGGCTTCCCAGCATCTCCACGCAGCGTCCTGGCGGGTGTGCTGGGCGAGCAGCTCCCGTCTGCACCTCCTGAGGACGAATGCAGACACCACCTCCACACGCTGCCGGGTGCCTGGCTTCCCCTGCCCGTTGCTTTTTTGTTTTTTTCTTTTTCTATCGGGTTGTCTATCTGTTATCAGCTTGTGGTTCTTTACACACTGTTGCTGTTCGGATACCTGATGCGCGTCCTCCATCTGTAGCTCGCCTTTCACGCTCCTATCTCGCTGTTTTCTGAGGGACAGGAGTCAGTCGTGTTAGCACAGTCCAGTTCCTCATTTTCCCCTAGAAGAGGTGGGTGCTGCTTTCCCCCGACGGCAGACTTCACAGTTTACACGTGCAGAGAAGTTGGCGGACAGCACACGGTCCCCTGAACCCACCCGCACACACGCAGGGTCTCCTGCTATGAGCATCTCCTGACCGTGGGCCATTTGTTACAACCGACGAGCCAGTATTCACATCGTTACCAACCAAAGTGCAGGTTTCCCGAAGTTCTTTCTTCAGGTGCATCTTGTGGGTTTCAGGGAATCTCTAACATCACGTGTCCCTCATTCTAGCCACATTCAGAGCTGTCTCGCTGCCCCAGAAACGCTCTGTGCACCACCTGCCCCCTGCCCCCCACCCCACAACCAGAGCTGTCACGTCCCCACACCCCGCCGTTTCCGGAGTCACAGGTGGAACCACACACTAGGTGACCTTTGCAGTGTTTTCTTTCGCGTATGAAGATGCATCTCCGTTTCCTCCGGTCCTTTCGGGACCTCAGAGCTCATTTCTCCGTATCACTGAACGGACCCCAAGGCTAGGTGGACCACTATTTGTCCACCACGTGCGGCAGGACAGCGCGGCTGCCTCCAAGTGCCGGCGATGACGACTAAAGCCGCTGTGAACACTCACCTGCACGTTTCCAGGTGGACCTAAGTTTTCTTTCTTTTTAAAATACATTTTTATTGATGTCCGAGAGGAAGGGAGAGGGAGAGGTAGAAATATCGATGATGAGAGAGAACCATCCATCGGCTGCTTCCTGCAAGCCCCACACTGGGGATCGAGCCCACAACCTGGGCTTGTGCCCTGACCTCCTGGCTCATAGGTCGACACTCAAACACTGAGCCACGCTGGCCGGGCTAGACTAAGCTTTCAAGGAGTGTGGTTACTGGATCCTGTGGTGAGACTCTGTCTGGTTTTGTAAGAAACCACCAGCCTGCCTTCCAAAGCGCCCCCCTGCCCCCTGCCAGCCGTGAGTGCGATTCCTGCGCTCCGCCCGCCGGCGCGCATTCTCACTGTTTGGATCCGGGCCTGCTGGTGGGTGTGCAGCGCTGGCTCACTGTTGTTCGAGGTGCACGCCCACACGACACAGGTGTCTCTTCACAGGCACATGTCCCTGGCACCTCCTCGTCCCTGGTCCGTGGACTGAGGTCTCTGCCCATTGCGGTCAGTTGTGCACGTCCTCATGGCTGAGCTCTAGGAGGGCCTGGCACGTTGCCGACAAGTCCTGATCAGACCCTCGTTCCCCACAGGGCTTGTCTGTCGTTTTTACAGGCACCGGGGTGCCCTCGGTGGCTTCCTGTTTAAACAGCACATCTGTGCAGGTGGCGAGACCTGCCTCCTGCACATCCCCTTGGCTCTTTCCCCTCAAGGAGTCACCGTTGGCATTTCTCTCTCTACCCGCCTAGGCCTGAGAGCGTGTGTGTGCGCGAGGGAGGACGAGACGCTTCCATCCAGCTGCACGTGTACTGAGACCCCCCTCAGGTTAGGGGGAGACTCTTCCGCTCCACCTCCCCGTCTGCTATCTGTCCGCGCACCAGCTCCCCACTGTCCACGCCACTGGCCCCTCGTAGGAGCCACTCTCCTACACTTCACCCCGCCAGGTCTGGGCTGCTCTCCGCAGGGCCAGAAGGTACACGCCGGGGTCAGTGCAGAGCCCCTTTTCCAGGGACTGCTCCCGGCACCCCGTGTCCCAGTAGCCACCCCTCCTTGAGCCGCTCTTCGCGGGGCCCCAGCACTCCTCTCCTGGCCTCTGGTCCATGCAGCTCCGCTCTGTCCCCCACCATCTTTCACCTCCTAAGGTCGGGAGGCCCTGGGCCTCCTCTAGTCTCTGCTCCAGCCCTGGGTTGCGTCCAGTCTCATCACTGAGCTACTGCTGACCGTTGAGGAGGGCACATCAGATTTGAATCCTGGGGGGGTCCTTGAAGGTTGGGGTTCCTCAGTGTGTTGAGGGGGTGCAGTCCCTTGCCCCGTGCTCCAGGGTCAAAGTGCATGGAGTGGGACCTCCTGACGAGAGGGCGGGGTCTGCCCTGGAGCCCACGTGCTGCTGGGAGTGGAAACCCCACGGCACTGAGGAGCGTGGCCTCATGTGCCCAAGGCAGAGAGACGGTGGCCCTGGGCATCGAGGGGCCCTGTCCTGCCATCTCCGCTTGGCTCTGTCCCCTCCTCTCCCAGTTCCAACATCTGCTGCCCCTCAACAGCCACTGCAAGTCCCCTGGGCGTCGTCTCCATGGCACACCCCAAAACTGAGCTGGGCCTCCTCCCCGGCCTTCCTCCCGCGCGTCCGTCTCAGCCAATGGCACGCCATCGTCTGGCTATCCTGGACAGACCCCTACTGAGTATGGACGGTTCCATCGCCCTCCATTTGTCCCATTGTCGGAAACCCTACTGGCCCTGCCCCCAAAGTGTGCCCCAAAGCTGACCGCTCCACACAGCCTCCTCGCCCAGCCAGCCTCAGCCAGGCCCCCAGCCCACTCCCGCTCCCTCCTGCGTCCAGCACAGCGTCCAGTGATGCTGCCCAGGCCTCTCCCTCTCAGAGACAAGTCAGGGCCCCGTGCGGGCTCCCCTCTGACCTCTACGTGCAGCTCTTCCCCTCTGCCTGTGCTCTGCTCAGCTGACTGCTCCCCACCAGGCGGGCCCCATCACTGTTGACCCATCACCTCCTCAGGCTGCTCACATGAGGCTTCTCCATTGCAACACCCTCCTTCCTGTCGCCCGTGGCCCTTTCCGGCCCCATCTCCCCGCAAAGCCCTGTCTCCTTCCAGGAGCCCCGTGGTGTCTGGTGGCCGGTCTGGAGGGTGACCGCCATGAGAGAGGGAGTCCCCATGTGGGTCCCATGACTTCCCAGCGCCCAGAGCACATGGTGGGTGCTGGACTAGTAAGTGTGGGAGGGATGGCTACCCAGGGTCCAAGGGGAGGTCAAGAGGCATGGCTTCCAACCCATCTTGTCCCCTCACTCACCCAGCAGCCCCCCCTGGAGTCCCTAGACCCTGGCCTGCACCCACTAGAAACCAGAGCCCAAGAGTCATGCCCTGGGTGCCCTGCAGGACCTTCAGGCCTCACACCTGCCCAGCTGACTTGGGAGCCCTGTCCCCACCAGGCCTGCCAGGTCCCGGGGCCAGTAATGCTGAGCATGTCAGGGGTCAGAGAGGCCCTGGGGCTTTGCTGGGCCCGTGGCCTTTGGCCTGAGGGACGCCTCTTTCTGGGCCTGCTCCACCCTGGGCAGGGCACCAGGGGAGGGTCCTCTGGGACCCTCTGGCCAATCACACCAGGGAGGGACCCCGAGCACCCCTTTGTCCCTCCACCACGCGCCAGGCTCTGCTCTGGGTGCTGAGGGATCCTGGGAACAGCGTGGAGAGAGGGGCGCTCTGTCCTGAAGGGACTGACAGGTGTTGGGGGGGCGGGCTCCCCAGCCTTTGGGTCACCAGAGGTCCCTTCTCAGCTCTGTCCTAGGGAAAGCCCAGAATCTCAGCCTGGCTGGTATCAGCCCCAGCCAGACACCCCAGCCAGACACGACTGGCTGCCCCTGCCCCGCACCCCCAGAGCTGCCTGGCCGCCCACAACCTCCAGTGGCCTTGCGGCCTCCTGAGCGCCTCCTGGCCAGTGGTCATATCGGAGCACATCCCCCCACTTCCTTCCCTTCTGGACATGACCTCCAAGATGTCCTGCCCGAACTCCTTACCTCCTCGAGGTGAAGGCCGGTCCCTCCTCAGGCAGAGAACTCAGTTCCAGACCCCAAATGGGGCAGGAGGGGTGCACAGTGAGGGCCTGTGGCCAGCGGTCACCGTGGCCACCGCGGAGGGCTCGCTCCCCCAGGCCCTGCGACCTGAGTCCTCATTAGACCTG